TATATTTTTAATAATAAGTAATAATAATTACGAAATAATTCTAAAAATAAAGATAATATATTTCGTACCTTCTCTTCGTAATTTTCTAAACATTCTTTGGAACATGTTAACTCATCTTCATATGTGTAACTGCGTTTCTTGCGTAATTCTTTTAAAGTAACATCTGCCTCATAATTTAGATGATTTATCTGTAAAACAAATATTTTGTATATGCCACAAATAATAAATATAATAACACAGTATAAATATATGTTACTGGTAAAATTTTGTTTACCATCAACATGCACACATCATTTTTTATGTATAATTTATATCCATTTTTATTAAAATAATATGTAATTATAATATACAGATATTAAAATAACATTAAATACTACGTAATAATATAAAATAAAAGTAATAAAACAAAGGCTTGTAAGACTTATAATTAAAGAAAATACATTATTAATTAGATATGTCTTCTATTTATTTTTAGTTGCACTTTTTTTATTCAATCTGAAGCTAAAGATTAATAAAAAACAAAGAAAGCCTACAAAGCACATATACTAAGTACATATCTATTGGAAAGAAAACAAAGAGAAATACAGACGTGTTATACAATATGTTAGGGGTACACACACACATATATATATATATATATATATATATATATATATATATTACATGTACTATTTTCTATATTGTTAAATGCTAAAATGTCACACATTTTTGTATATATTATAATATATACAAAAATGTGTGACATTTTAGCATTTAATAATGTAGAAAGTGGTACATGTATTGTTATTATAAATATGTACACACACACACACACACATACACACACACACACACACACACACACACACACACACACACACACACACACGTATATACACATACATTAAATTTATATACATCAACATTTGGCTCCATTATTTGCTGATTGTGATTTAATATCGAAAGAGATTAGCAGTAATTATGTGTCATCTGTCCATGTGTTTTCAAAATACATGGCTCAAGAAGGTACGAGACCGCATAACTATTGATATCAGGTAAAATCCAATAAAATCAAACGTCCGTAATAAACAATCTCCGTAAAAAAAATCGGCATATTTCTAACCTCAAAATATTCCACGCCTGTTGCGGCAAACAGGTTATCCAGCGAAACATATTCCGGCGGTTGCTTATGGTGTTCCAATCTTTGATCAGCATCGCTGCTGTCCATATACCAGACGCATACCATAGTATTAGTCTCGTTCGAATAATAAAGAAAATTGATGTTATACCGAATAGTGTTATACTGAATGATGATGATGACGCTGGAGATCAGACTTCTGCATTTTAACCAGACTATATGACGTAAGCAATTTATCAATTATGTATCAGCTTACTACTCAACAATAAAGAGATACTTATGATCGAATGCAAATGCTGAGAAATTCCGAAAAATATGAAAAGTACAATGTTCATATAATTTAAAAACGATAAAGTTTAAATAAGAAATTAGGATTCTTAAAGACAAAATCTTGAGACGAAATTTATATGTGTACTATGTAGGATTTTTATATTATATAAATTCATTTTATTTATTATTTAATAAAAAACTAAATAAAAAAACTAAACAAAATTAAAACAAAAAACCTAAAGAAAACTAAAAACTGAATAATGACATAAAACTTAAATAACTATTAAAACAACAAAAAATAAAAAAATTTAACACAAAAATGGAAACTTTACAA